CCTCATTTCAAGGGCGCAGGGAGCTGAGACGGAGCAGGCCCGATGTGTCTTACACTACGCCACGTTTGAGTCTCTGTCATCAAACAAAATGCTAGAAGTAGAATAAAAACCAGGAAAACGATGAAGAGTAACAGTACCTTGACTAGGGGCTGTTGAGCACAGTCGCTTTGGGGGTCTCTGCTCCTCCATGAGGCGTCTGCAGGTGAAGGGGGTGGAAACCTGTTAGTCTGGGAGCTTAAAACCACACACATCCCAAGCAGCAGCCACCCAGCCTCCCCAGGTGGGCACTGCCCAGGGACCGGCCTCACCCCACTTGGGAGGCCTGCAGAGCCCAGCCCAGCGGACTGTGAGGGAGGGTGGGAGCTCGGACATGCTGCAGTGTCTCCAGGGGAACAGGGACCCTGCAGGCCAGGGTGGGAGATGAGATTAGCTTTGAGCAAGTGGAGTGAAGACCCTCAGCGGGAGGAGAGAAGAGGTGAAGGGAGAGGCAGGAAGACGGGGATCAGAGGTCTGGACCTGCCTCTGTTCCCACGGACAACATGAAGTCCACCCCTCTCCAGGACACCCAAACACGCACCTGATCTCCCTGGCCTGGAGCTCTTCGCAGTGGGCTCTGGAGTCTGGAAACCAGGCGACCCGTCCAGGAGCAGGGGCCTGAGGGTTAGGGTCTGGAGGCGTCTGGAGGCTCTGCACGATGCAGGATCAAGGCGCTCGGCAGTAATGTGCTCGCTAGTCGGCGCCCAGTCCTTTTATAGGAGACCCCCACTGCCAGCTGGCACCTGATTGGATGAGAGTGGAGTAGGGGGCAGGACAAGGCTGGACGGAGCCAGGATGGGCGGAGCTAGGATGGGCTGGGCCTGGCCTGACTTGGAACGATCATTGGATAGTCTGCTGCCTGTCAAGTGGGCGGTGCACGCAGCCCGGGCGCGCTGATCGACTAATTTAATCATTACGGTGGCAGGGAATGCCTGTGATTAAGTTAGTGCCAGGGAAAGGGTGGTGTGGAATGAGACTGACAGGTGGTTAATTAGGTCTGAGGGTGCCTTCCTCCAGTCAAGGGAGGCCTGCATGGGCTGAATCTGCAGGATTCTTGGACCCGGCCATGAAGGACCAAACGGGGAGGATAGGATGGGCGTCGTCCAGGCGCATCCCAGGGACGTGGGGAGGCCGGCACCAGCCCAGGGGTGCGGTGCCAGCCGAGACCTCACAGGGTCTTCCTTCCTAGGGGCGTCCGGTGCCAGCCGTGGGAAGGTGTCGGGGTGGGAGGTGACACGGTGGAGTAGCATTTCAGAAGCAGCCACCCACCATGAGGGGCGGTGGGCGGTGGCATGAACGTGGGGAGGCAGGTGCAGCTGCAGCCCTGGTTAGACGCGGGTCCTGACTGCCGGGGGCTGTGGGAGGCAGAGGACACGCCTCGTTGGGACGCATTGGAGGAACGCACAAGGGATGGCGTGGGCACCTTGGAGGGGACAGAAAGCAACTTCTTAAAACCAGGGGACCAGCAACCTGCTCTGAGGGCAGGACCCCAGTCTGGTCATCGCCCGTTGGCCAGAAGGGGCTTTGAGTGACCCGGTGAAGAGTGGAGCGGCATTTTGTCAGGGGGGAGAGGGCTCAGAGGCGGCTCAGGGCGAGAAGCAAGCCGCGGGCGTGCAGCACGTGGCCCCGGACGGCGCTCGGAGTCTGGGAATCGCCGGTGAGGTGTGGGTGAGCGCTCCGCACAGCCCTCCGCCCTGTTTCTCCTTGTCCTGCAAGTCAGCTTTATTGCGGTGTAAGCCTCATGCCACGGGCTCGGTTCAGGGGGTTCTGGTACAGGCGCACTCGGGAAACGCCACCGTGGCGAGACAGGACGGCCACTCCAGGGCTCCGCCGCAGGGCACCACTCCTTCGCCTCGTGGGAGGCTTTCTTTGCCTGTTCTCGAGCTTCACGTCTGCGGACCAGCGTGTGCTCCAGGCCAGCTCGCTGCCTCAGGTGGCGCGGCCGGGACTGCTCTGGTCGTCCCCTCCCACTGTGTGGCCAGGCCGCAGCAGGGTCGCCTGTTCCCCATCAGAGATGGACATGGCTTTTGTTTCAGCTATGGGGAGTGAGAACAGAGCTGCTGTGAGCATTTGGGTGCAGCCCTTGGGTGGACCGAGACCGACTTCTAGGTCAGCTGTCGGGTGCTCCCAGCTCCCTAAAAACCCACTAGGCTTCCTGACTGGCGGTTGGTTTGCCCCTGCAGCCACGGGGGAGAGCCCTGTGGTGCCACGCACTCCCAGAGCCGACACTGTCCCCCACCGCCTGGCCCGCCGTTCCGGCGTCTGCGGAGTGGTGTCTCGGCGTTCTAGCCTGCAGCCTCATGATAACCAATAATACACTCAATTTTTAATTTATCAATGTTTTAAAACTTGCCAGAGTGTGTTGCACTCACCAGAGAGAGACAGAGACAGGGAGAGGGAGGAGGCGTCCCCAGCAGGCACGCGCACACCGAGCCCTTCTCCGTTTCTCCATCTTGTTTGGAGCTGGGACACACACAGGTGCACACATGCTCTCCGGGTCACCGGGGCCAGGATCCCAGCGTGGACGCCCCTGCGGGGCGGAGGGGCTAATCCGTCTCCTAGCATGGTCCCGAACGACCCGCCGAAAGACGGACCCGGGCCAGGCCGTGGCACTGCAGGGGTGGAGGCTCTCTGAGGCGAGCCCCCATGGGAAGCTTCCGGGTGACCCAGAGTCCTCCCTGAGTACGCTGGGCACACGCTGGAACATGGTCCCGGGCTGGCCGGAGGCTGGAATGAGTCACCACGTCGAGACCCCGCTGGGAATGGAGGCTGGCCCCGCCTCGGTGAGCTGGACCCACATGGCTGACCACGGTTCTAGTCCCAGCTCCAGCAGCTTGAGAAACATACCTGGCATGTGTATGTACCTACCCGAATCCTGACGGGGTGGACCAATGGGGAGAAGGGATTGTGGTGTGACCACACCCCACAGAGGTGCCTTCTCACCCCGACCCCCGCGGGGCACGTGCCTGCCTGCAATTAAAAAGAGAAAAGAGAGAGGTGAAATCCACGCAGCTTTTTCATAATACACATTTTCACGAACTCTTCGACCCTGAAAATCCATGTTGTTGAGTAAAAAAGGGAAGCAGTACAGTAAGACCTAGTGTGTGCAGCCAGCCCCGTAAACGGAGAACACACAGAGCAATGAAAAGGGAAGCAGTACAGTAAGACCTAGTGTGTGCAGCCAGCCCCGTAAATGGAGAACACACAGAGCAATGGATGCTGTTTTCAAACGCGCTTGCATTTCTAAAGACAAGAACCACACACGCCAGATCGGGGGCTGCCAGGGAAGGCAGGGTGGAAGATGCGGCAAATGCAACCAGAAAGCCTCGCGCAAAGCCAGGGTGGCAGCCGGCCGGGCCCGAGGAGCTCAAGGAGGGAGAAACGAGCCAGGGCGCTCTGCATGATGCCCAGCACCGCGGCGACCCGGCCAGCCCTCCTTTCCGGCAGGCTGAATCTGCACGAGCCCCGCCAGTTTCTGGGTCAAGCCTCTGCCCCGCGCTCCAGCGGCATCGGAGGCGGCAGCTGTGGCGGCCCGTCTTTTCCTGTTTTGGCTCGCCCCTACCAGCCACTCCCAACACCAAACTCCCGCTCTGCTTTTCTGATGGCTTCTTCAGCATCCAGTCCCAAGGCCACTGACCCCTGAGGCCGGTCCCGGGCAGCCCCTCTGGGCTGTGCCAGTGCCCACACCCTCCTTGTGTTTGCTGACCTTGAGGGCTTGGGAGGGCCAGGCAGAGAGACGTGTGGGCGTGGCTCTCTGGCTCGCGCACCCTGGGAGTGGCACGTGCAACCGGAACGATGTCTCTGTGACCGTGGCCATGACAGCTGGCTGAATGGATGTTTGTCAGGTGCCCCGTTGCACTGGGCTCCGGAGAGAAGCTGCCATGAGCAGCCCACGCCTCCCGTGGGCAGGGCCCGCTCCGTGACGTGGGCGTCTCGGTGTGCAGGCTGGCCTGACCCCACCTGCTGCTCATTACCCACGGATTCCTCGCACTTATGTGGCGCGGTGGCCCCTGGCAACCGGTGAGCTTTCTCCTAGTCCCCTGGTTTTGCCTTCTCTGGGATGTCAGAGCAGATAACCCTTTCACACTGGCTTCTTTCACTTGGAAACATGCATGTAAGGGGCCGGCAGGTGGCACGGTGGTTAAGAGCACTGGAATCGCACATGGACACCTGTGGTTTGAATCCCAGACCTAGTGACTCTCTCTCTCTCTCTCTCTCTCTCTCTCTCTCACTCTGTCCCTCTCTGGTCAAATGAAAATAAATGAATAAATAAAGTTAACTAAAATAATTCTTTTTTTTTTTTTTTGGAGAGGTTTTCACTATAGGGCGCATGCACTTGCCAGACTGACAGAGAGAGACATAGAGACAGAAAGCGAGAAATCACCCCCCAGGGGGGATGGCCACGCCACAATCCCTTCTCCTCCATTCTCCTCTCGGGATCTTGGGCACGCACACACACGCGCCCGGCGTGAGTTTTAAGTCACCGGGTCTGGGACGCGAACCGCAGTCAACTACGTGGGAGTCCAGCGACATAGTCATTACACTAACTGCTGGTTCCCAACTAAAATAATTCTTAAAAAAAGAAATATGCATGTAAATAATGTAAATAGTTAAAACATTTCTCTTGACTTCCTGTGGCTCAATAGCTCATTTCTTTTTCTTTGTAAATAGTACTCCACTCTATGGATGCACCACAGTTTACTTACGCTTTCACCTATTGCAAAACATCTTGGTTGCTTCCAAGATCTGGCGATCATAAATAAAGCTGTGGTAAACATTGGGTGGACGTTTTTGTGTGGACATAAGTTCTCACGTGGTTTGGGTAGATACCCAAGCACACAAAACCGCCGGGTTGGAGAGCGGTGCGGAGCTGACTCTGTCAGGCATGGCCCACCTGCCCTCCGAAGTGGCAGCACCATTTTCCATCCCACCATCATCGCTGCGTTCCCGTGGCTCCACGCCCTCACCAGCATTTGGCGTTGTCAGTCTTTTGGATTTGGCCATTCTATTCTAACAGGAGTGTGGTGCCATCGTGCTGCTGCTTAATCTGCAATTTTGTGATGTCAGAATGATGCCGATCACCTTTACATGTGCTTGGCTGGCAGACACATACTGTTAAAATATGTCATCGGAATGTGTTCTCATCAGAGAGACAGGAGACGGGGAGGAGAGAAGGCATCGTCCCCAATGGGGTGCTTCCCTTCCTTCCCTTCCCAATCCCTTGCATTCCATTTCTCCATCGTGTTGGGATTTGGGGACATGCAATGCACCAGGCCTGTTTCAAGCCGCAGAGACTGGGATTTGATCCCTAGTTAGCGTGTGGGATCTGGCTCCCTAGCCACTGAGCTACAGGCTGGCCTGGCCATGACATATTTTCAAATATGTTAAGTGTTCTTACCCAGAAATACAGTTCTCTATTAATTTTATTTGTATTTTTTTAGATCTCTCCCATAGGGCACATTCACTCGCCAGAGAGAGGGTTAGGGTTAGGCCCAGGGAGATGGTCGTGCCACAGCCCCCCTCCACCCTCGGCCTAGGGTTTAGGGCACGCATACAGCTAGCGTGATTTTTGAGCTGAGTCCAGTCTCAAACCAAAGTCTGCCAGGTAGGAGTCCAGTGCCTTGACCACTACGCCACCTGCTGGCCTCCGCTGAATTTTGTTTTCCTTTCTTAGCCAAACAGTGAACTTCTTTGTAACATTCTTTAAATTGGGGCGGGGGATACTGCTTTCAGACGGTTCACGTTTTCGGTCCATGCGCGAGTACGGTATTTTTCAGGGGTTCTGGCTTCTTTTGTTACTTACATTTGAGAAATTCCTCCACGTGAGTGAAACCGTCTTGCATTTAGACTGAAGCCTCTTAATTAATTCCAGTTAACTTTCCTTTGACACTCTTGGGAAACATAGATACATAAACATATCGCTTGCAAATAATTACAATTTTTTCTTCGCTTACAAGAATTATGGCTCTTATTTATGGTTCGCATGTCGTTGGAGCAGCTAGAAACTGCAGGGGAATGGTAACTAAGAAGACGGGACCCCTACCCGCTCACTCCTCACTCCTGTTACACAGCCGTGTGACAGTGGCTGATCTGAGATTCAGTGTCCAGGCTGGATAGAGCCGAGTCCACGCAAACGCGCAGTTTCCCTCGGGCAGTCAGAGACATTATTCACTCAGGTGCTGGCGACCAGCTGCAGGAGCCTGTCTGCATGAGGCCGCGGCCGGGGCGCTGTGCAGCCGATGCACGACCCAGCCCACTGTCCTCTGGCGGCGCAGGGGTGGTGCCGCCGCAGCCTTGTGCCCCAGCCCCTCGGCTTCATCCTGCTCCCCAGGCCCGCTCCGCCGCTCCGCGCCCCCACCCCGTCCCCGGCCGAGACGTGTTGCTATCAGGAATGAAAATGCTCATCCTCCCCTGTCCGCTCCAGGCCGAGGTCCTCAAAGACACCCTCACTGGGAGCCCACCATCATGGCCCGACTCAGCAACGCCCCCGTTCACACCGGCTCGCCTCTGCTTGTAGCTCCAATCTGGGAGCCCCTGCCTTTCCTCAGCCCTGCAGGTCCCCCGCCCCCGGGAGATCGGGGTTCCTTAGCCTTCCCACCGCGGAGAAGAGAACATCCTCTGTCAAAGCTGCACCACCCGCTGAACCCC